TTGAAAGTTCGATCCTTACTCTGTTTCCCCTACTTTCAACCTTGTGCCACATCAAAGCTACTCTTGGAAAATCACTATATGTATGCAATGACAATATTTCACTGTACTCTTAAGAGGATCGCGCGCCGCACGGGTGTGCCTCCATACGGCAGTTAAGAATCCCTAGTTTAATATATCAACAATGTTTAGGTGATTTGAAAAGAAAATGTGTGATAGAAAATCTAATGGACTTATGGGCGATAATAGCCTAATCAACATTTCAATTCTCATTGGACAGTCGGCAGTCTGACACTTTGTTAATGTTAAATTGGATGCGTCACCGAAAGCCGAAGAACCATATTTTTAGCCTAGAATGTTTTGAGCGCCTTTGATTTTAGAACAATATTTACTAATTTTTAAAGCATCAGATTGAATATTTTTAGTGCTGTTGCTTTCATTTTCTCGGTTTGTAGTTAATTATGCAAAAGTGACTAAAAAAGCATAACGATACTCGTCCGATTAAATTACAGAGTTGCTCTGTAATACTCACCACAAAGAACCATCCCTGCCTCCCATTAGAATGTCTGACGCTCAACTCCACGAGAACACCTCTTTGTGACTGCTCGGTCTCACATTGACTGCTGACCAGAGATGGAACAAATACATTGAGTCAATTACTTCGACCACCGCAAAGAAAGTTGGCTTCCTGTGCCGCGTCAGGACATTTTTCTCGCCGGAATCGATCCTTCAAATCTACAAATCAACCATTCGCCCTTGCATGGAGTATTGCTGCTATATATGGTCTGGAGCCCCTTCTGTTTGTCTCCGGGTTCTTGATAAAACCCAGAGAAGTTTATGCAATGTAATTGGCCCTGATCTGGCATCTCGTCTGCAGTCGCTCTCTCACAGAGAATACTTTCACGGTAACTGCTCCGATGAGCTGCTTTCGCTGGTTCCCAGACTTCATGAATTTAAGCGTTCTACTTGGCTGACATCTCGCTCTCACCCTTTCACTGTCGAAACTGTTAAATGTCGCCGTCTCTTCTAATCCAATAGCTTCATGTCTCGCACCTTTCCCCTGTGGAACTCCCTCCCCTTGTTTCACTGATAGCTATAATCTCCAACTATTCAAATGTAATGTCAATCGACGTCTCCAGATGCCTTGATCTATCCCCTATCCTTCTCTTCAACCTTTCCTCTATCACTCCTATTTGCTCTCGCTCCAATTCTCTGTAAGCGCATGCGTGCGGGTGGCTTCCCGCCTTGCTTGGGTTGAAACGCTTTTAAAAAATAGCAATGATTCACCTCAGATACTAAAATAACACTTAGGAAATTGAAAGATGTTCATTATTTGTTTCTTTTTATTTAGTGGCATATCGACTACTTATGGGTTATTTAATGCCGAAATTTGATTTTCCTAGAAGCAGTAGTTATTCCCGTCACCAAAATATATTGCTAGTAATTTTCTCACTATGAAGATGTATTTCTGGTATTTTTACTATAAAATGTACATTTAAAATATCATAATGCTTTGACCCCAGCTTGGAAGTTAACTATTTGGCTATAGTTGGGACCGTAACGGTTGCTACCACCCCGGGTCAGGGTGAACCTATGCACAACAGCAGTTAAGATGTGGTTGCACGCTCCGCAATACTTCCTGATTTGAGTCCTTGCTGCCGAATGTAGTTCATCGTCATACCCAGAACAAAAGCTAATTTAAAAACAAAAGTCATAAAAGCAAATCTTAAGATACTTTTTCAAAAGAATACACTAAATAATTATTATATATTATCTTAGAAATTAGAATTTTATTGAGGCTATTTAAAGAGGTTCACTCTTAAAGAACAGTGTTAAATACAAGAACGGTAAAGATAGCGTTTCAAAGACTTCATGGAATAGTGAAATTATTTAATCTTAGAATATCGCATAACACTTCGCAAAGAGAGAAATCTTTTCTTTGAAGTCGGCATCACGACATCGACTTGCTTTGCGAAAACTAATTTCATGCTGATCGTCTAAAATAGGTCAGCGCGTGTTTCATTTAAGAAGTCATTACTTCTTCGCATTTAATTCCTCAATTTGAAAATAAAAGCAATTTTTTTAAAAAAATTAAATTTTTGATTATCTTTCTAAAAAACATCACTAATTGATTCTCTTTAACGAATTGGCATCACATTGACAACATTCGTTAAAATGAAATTCTGAAACTCATTTTAACAGTGAAAAGAAACTAACGTAAGTTTGTCACCCCCCTACCAAAAGGTAATGAGTACAATGGAAGGACAAGTAATACAGTAATACAAAGCACATGTACTTAGTTTACTCCCTTTCATTGACGCTGTCATACATCAAGAGAGTCTGTATGAACACCATCATTCCCGTGTCAGCCATCTGAAATAGAAAATTATATGATGTAAGGGTGACAAGACTTTCGGACAAGCCTGTAAAATGTGCAACTCCGACACAGATATGAGAAAATTATTCTATTTTTGGTCTAATTTAACTCTTGTGAAGATAATGAATGATACACGAAATCAGATCCTTTCTAAAGTGATAGAATGACCCGAACATATTTCCTGTATCATTAGCGAAGGTATATATATATATATATATATATATATATATATATATATATATATATAAAAAAGTGAACGTAGAAGTGAACACTTAGAGGCGACAGTCTGTTTCATGCTATATGCAATCGTCAGGCCACGTGTGCTGTTATTTTTCTCGGCTATTTATATATATACGGGTCAGTGGTGCATTGTGGGTAGTATATTTTGGCGGTTATTTTACCGGAAGTCGTTTATTTGTTTATTTATTTATTTAGGTTAAATTATTTTGATGGTTTCTATTTATTTTTATTTTTTGTTTCTTATCTTATATATATGTATATTCATTTATTTGTTTTTAATCGGTGTTGTTTTTTAGTTTTTTTTTGGAGGGGTTAACGTCGCAAAAATTTGTTTATATCACTTATTCAATAGTTTTGTTTTGGTTTGAGAATTTAATTAAAGCTATTTGTTCGGTTTTGGGGGTAGATTGTTGTAGTTTATTCTAACTATGTAAAAAGAACTAACGTAATCTTGTCACCCTCGCTACCAAAAAGTAATGATTACAATGGAAGGACAAGTAATACAAAGTACATGGACTGGATTCAGTTTATTTACTTTCATTGACGCTGTTACACATCGAGAAGGTCTGTATAAACACCATCACTTTTGTGTCACAAAATAAAATAGAACATTTTTCGGATAACCCTGTATTAAAACTTATATTTCTCTTACTATGAACTAGTATATATATAAACCTAAATTTCATCCACAATTATGTAATAAATTGGATTGACTCTAAAATAACTCTAAAAATCTACTTATCTACTCATAATATAAATTATACCTATTTTACTGTTTACTGTATTCAGAAATATGTAGAATACTAATTGTGATTTTTTTTTCAGTACTCATTTGTTTAAAATACATGCTTTGCTTAATATTGTTATACAGTCTTACTGACTTTTAATGCCAATTTTGCCTTCTACTTGAAATCTGTGTTGTACAGTGTGGTCCAAAAGTCTTATCACGCGTACCAAAAAAGTAATGAGAGCAATAAATGACCATGAAAATACAACAATACAAAGTACGTATACTGGATTCAGTTTATTCCCTTTCATTTCGGTGTCATACATCAAGAGAGTCTGTATGAACACCATCATTCCCGTGTCAGCCATGTGAAATAGAAAATTATATGATGTAAAGGTAACAAGACTTTTGGACCACGTTGTAGCATATGCACCTCCGACCCAGATATAACATTATACTATGTTTTGGTCTAATCTAACTGAAGTACGAATCTCCAGTAAGGTTTAAAGTTATATGTGGTATTAATGAAAACCCATTACTAATTTGCTTCTTGTAAATATAAAGCATAACAGGAGGAATAGTGTATTTCCTGGAGCGATAGAATGAGACCTCTGTACAGGATGGTCCGAATGTCTTGTCACACCCTACTGAAAAGTAATGAGAACAATAGAACAATTAATACAGTAATACAAAACACATGTACTGGATTCAGTTTATTCGCTTTCATTGACGCTGTCACACATCGAGAAGGTCTGTATGAACATCCATCATTTTCGTGGCACAAAATGATGCGGCGCCATTTCCTCTGTGATATTTAACGAAGCTGCGTTTTATTGATTGTTGCAAGGGCTCTCCGAACGGCGTCCTTCAAATGATTGGTATTCTGTTATCGTTCATGTGAAACCCTCTCCTTGAGGTTTGTTATATTATGTACGGTCCGACCTGTACAATAAAATGAATCGTTTTTTGTTAGACATTTCGTAAATTAGTCTTAATTTCGCATTAAGATTGCCAATTTGCTTGTATCTTGACTCTTTTCTATACTAGAGGCCATCTAATAGAAGGTTGATTTACTAGTTTTTACGGCTTATCAACCCTTTGACAGACAATAATTATAGACTCTAAGAGTTTTTAGAAATGATACCTAGACTTTATTAATGTGAGCGCAGTACTAGATTGGCAACACGGTATCCTTTTTATAGTCGAATTGGCGTGATTTAACCGTAGGTTCTTTGCCAATAGTTTCTTCACTCGCATTTCTCGCTTGTAAAACTCTCTTCTAGCTTGTTGCTTTCCAGCCAACTTTGATCTTCACAAATTTAAATGAAATGTCACTCGTTATTTAATGTCTACTTGGTTCCTCTTTTTTATTGTTCTCGCTCGTTAATAAGGTTTCCTTTTTCTTTAACACTTGGCAACTTCTTGTGTCTTAGTGGCTTTATTGCCTTACTTAGAGTGAAATGATTGAAAAAAATAACGATTTACTGAAAATCTAAGTTTTTATAAGTAAACCATAGTTCGATGGAAGAAGCGGTGGGTCCATGCCTTTCCTAAGGGTATTAGCGTAAATGAATATAACCACCCCGACTGAAATTGGAATTCGGTTCTTCAATTTCCAATGCCGAGCCATTATACATTACACCACCCACACATTCATACTTACAGCACCTGGTATCCCGAAACGGTTATCCATCTAAATATTAAGCTGGCTCAGAGTTAATTAACTTCTGTGATCGTATGAGAATCGGTGTTTCAACGCGATATGGCCGGCCGTAAGCCTCCAATACAAGGCACAGGAGCTACTCGTGTTAGAGGGTTATGAAATGGTGTGTGTGATATGAAAAGTAAGAGGAGGTAAAATAGAGCAAGCAGTGGATATATATATATGTAGGAACAGACGAAAGCTTGTAAAAATTAAAAGACCTTATGCAACTGGAATTTATAAACAGGGATCACATCATTCATATACAGGTTTGGGGTTGATGTATCTCATTTATATTGTTTGCGAAGATGTATTCTCGCCATTTAAATCATTAACATCTATATTTGGTTTTTGTATGAATGATTCATGAATTTATAAATTACAATTTGCATCTTTAATTGAAATTAAAATAACCGATCCAACGTGCAACTTTCGGATAAAAAGTGTGAGATTACTGTAATTATTGAACAATATAGTTCATGCCACATAGACGGAAAATCTACCAGTAAAAAAGAATTCTCTTTTGTACAAAAACGGACAACCTTAAAATTTAAATTCAAACTCAGCGTTGCGACCGCACGTTCCAAAACAATAACACATTTCTCATAGCATTTTTTCTCTATTTTCTTTGTCCTCTCATTACCGAGAAGTAAAAACAAGAAGAAATCTATTTCCATACCTGATGATGTCTGTAGGAACAGACGAAAGCTTGTAAAAATTAAAAGACCTTATGAAACTGGAATTTATAAACAGGGATCATATCATTCATATACAGGTTTGGGGTTGATGTATCTTATTTATGTTGTTTGCGTAGATGTATTCTCGCCATTTAAATCATTAACCTCTATATTTGTTTTTTGTATGAATGATTCATGAATTTATATATATATATATATATATATATATATATATATATATATATATATATATATATATATATTGGCCTTTGATCTGGAGAAGGTAAATTGGTCAAGGCATCAAAGTTGGAGTTTGTTCCATAAAGTGGAAGTTCTCTGGAAAAGCTACCCTCCTTACAAATGGTGTCCGGAGTTTTTAATTAAATTAGATATATTGTTATCAGTTTAATTTTGACAAGAACCCAAACAAATAATAGTTATCTCTTTCTAGAGAAATCTAGGCGATATCTCTTGGCGTAAAATTCACACGCTACCGATGTCCCCACTTCGGCATATTTATCCTAACACTTCGCAAAATCATCCATAAATGAATTGAGTTTCTTGTAATAATTTACAATTAATTTAGTGAGTACCGACACAGACTCCATACCTATTTAAAGTAGGGTATATTTAGACCCCGGACCATGCTAATAGCTTAGTTGTGAAATTTAGGATTTCTCTGTTTTCTGTGACTTGATTTTGATAAAAAAATTTGTAAGGTTTTCATCATTCTGTGTAACGTCCGTTATATTTTTACTTCATATTCGACATTTTGGTGGGGTGAACCACGCTAATAGCCTTTGAATGAAATTAGACTATCTCGATATTTTTGGGACAGAAAAAAAGAAAGATATATATTAAGTATACCTTGAGTATATATTTAACAGTAAACCATATTAATATTATAAGGTTTATTTTGACGTAATGAATTATTTGACCATATGAGCGCCATTTGGACGGATAACTTCACAAACCTTATTCGTCATGGAATCTGTCATTTTTTATAGTAGCAGGTTGGGCTGCTCTTGCTGTAGCGTTGATAGTCACTCGTAAGATATCTTTCGACGTATCCATCGGCATAAAGATCTTTAATGATAGACCAAATATTTTCGATAGGAGTGAGATACGGAGAAACTGGCGGCCACACCATCAACCTTTCACCTTGTATACCGTAAGGGAATATTTGGTTGTCCCTGGCGGAGTGTGAGGGAGCGTTGTCATGCATAAATACTAGAGTTCTTGCAAGTGACAGCGGTATGTCATCTAGTCAGAGATCCAAGACCTCCTTCAGGAGATTGCAGCAGGTAACTGCAGTCAGTTTAACCCTTTCAGGCACAGAGTCGTCCCAAGCCCCCCCCTTTTGACTCAGGACAGCACTACCTTCTCAAGGCACCTGATGTAGGCCTTCGTTTTGAGTCTGAGGCCCTGTTTGAAGATGAATGGAAGCATAACGTTGCTATCACTAATGATCAATCCAAAAACCATGATGTGGATGTACCCCCGCCCAACTCTTTCCGAATCATTAGCACTGTCCGCAGATTGATACCCAAACACTGAAATGGTCGTACTGGACATAGGGCGCAAATGCCAAGCAGTACAGCATGCTGTTTCCAAAATTGCGTCATGGTGCTCTTTTTTCTATCAGACCGTGTCGGACTGACCTTACTATATTGTGACTCTTACTCCCGTGGACCGAATAATTGGTTTCCTTTGATATTCCAGGAAACTTGCCGAGTATGTCGACATTCACCTGAAGAAAGCCGGAAGAGACAACGACCGAAACGCCGTAAATACTGGATGCGATGGATAAATTGTCGTCTAAATTACGCAAAAATAACATTGACATTTCATTTTAACAGATATATTTTTACCAAAATTACACAAAACTATCTTGAAATACTAAAGAGTAAATTTATTCAATAACATTTCCATTGGCTTCAACCACGGCCTCCAGACGACTTCTGAATCTCCTGCATCTCTTCTGGACAGTCTCCTTGTTTAAGTTAGTAAATGCTGCCATAATGATTGCCCTCAGTTCATTTTTGGTGTTAGAAGTTATTTTTTGGCCTCTCGCTCAACTGTAGCCCACACATAATAATCAAGGAGGTTGCAGTCTGGGGAGTTAGGTGGTCAGATGTAAGGGGTGATGTGGTCTCAGGAATTGTCTGACAGCCATGATTGGGTTCTCCTGTTCGTGTGGCAGGGTGTAGAGTTCTGTTGCTAGACATAAGATTATCCAGCAGCCACCCTCTTGACCCAGGACAGCACTACCTTTTCAAGGCACTTGATGTAGGACTCTGTGTTGAGTCTGAGGCCCTGTAGGAAGATGAATGGAAGCATAACGTTGACATCACTTTTGAGCACTCTAAATAGCATGATGTTGACTAGATATATCATCCAACTCTTTCCGAATCCTCTGCACTTTCGTCAGATTGACACCCAAACACTCTGAAATGTTTGTATTGGAGACTTCGGTGAAGCACAATATGCCGTTTTCAAATTTATGTCGGAGTGAATTCCTTTATGGTGTTATATTCTCAAAGACAGTGAACAACTGAGGCTACTATACTGCGCAGTCGATTAAATCAACAACAACGCGCATGTACGTAATTAAAAATATAAAATGACGCCAATTTACCCATCGCAGCCTGGACTTGTTTGTCAAATAAGACCCTTACATTTGCCTTCATAAAGTCGATAAGAGGAGGAAACGTCTATAGTGTTATGGGGTCCTCCCTTTTTTCATATAAGTGGACTCGACCAGTGTTACTTGGACTGCTTCCGTTAAATACCCAGAGTTAGACAGTCAGACAGATTGAGATTATAAGAAGACTGAGATTGTGATTGAGTTGGAGGTAGAGTAATAGTGTGAGGTAACCGCTTGTAGAAGAGAGTTACAAACCCGTAGACTCGAAGGAAGTCCTACTTCAAGACTGTATATATCTATATATTATTGATACTAACCGCGTTCCTGGATTTACTAATAGTATTACCCTTTGTATTATTGTGTAAATACATTTAATTTCTAATATTTAATTCTTGCGTTTGTCATTCATTGGAGACCGAATTTCATCTCGGAATCCACAGCAGATAGAAAGTTTGCCTATCTTTTAAAGTTATACATATTATAGTTTAATTTTTACACACAAATATATATAAATATATATATATATATATAAATATATATATATATATATATATATATATATATATATATATATACAGTTTTATGGATATTAGTTTGTAACCATTGTCATCAGACAAACTGGTATATGTTTTGAAAAGTAGATGTTTTTTTTTCCTTATATATGTCTGAGTGTGGCGGAGGAGGTATTTTCTTCTGTGTTTGTCTGGGATGAAACTCACATGCATATACTCACATACATACAGGTGAATGCATTGTAGTTCGTGAAACCCACCCATATAAATCACCTAAGGTTAGAGGCAGATACACATCCATGCGTCTGAGCATACATATATACGCAATTGTGATTCTATTTAGGTGTCGAGACTGTAGCGTTACATACGTAGCAATGTTCCCTTAACAAGGAACTGGTGGGGAGGGGGTTATCTTGACGTTTTTCAGATCAGCCGTTCACGCCGTCAGATAAGCTCACATTTCCTCATAAATGCACACACATAAATATATGATCTGTCAGAGATATTGAGCACTTTCGACTGTATTTCCAGATATATATATATATATATATATATATATATATATATATATATATATATATATATATATGGTGGATCGATAATGAGGGTCAGCATTGGATGGGGGATTTCCCTTCACACTTATGCATGCTAGCAGGGGCCATTGTGGAGAAAATCAGGTAAGGGAAATACATACCTGTGCTTTCTTAAATGTGATACTCACCCAGACAACAAAGCCACACTGGAATTAGTTAAAGCGGAAGTTTGAGGGCGACTCTGCGTAAGTGCTTGACGAAGCTGATCACGGTGCTTCAGTCTTCAAAACAATTTAACTAAATGAAACATGTCTTATGGCACATCCTTCGGTTAGATGCTTGTGCTTGCCAGGTTTTCATATCAAGTTCAATTTGTCTATGTAGCGTAAGAGTGGACAATATATATATATATATATATATATATATATATATATATATATATATATTAAGCATTTCACCCCAAGCAAGGCGGGAAGCCACTAGGACGCAAGGGTTACAGAAAATAGCAAGATCAGATAGGAGTGATAGAAGAAAGGATGAGGGTAGTAGATAGATTAAGGCAACTGGAGATGTCGATTGACATTACACTTGAATAGCTGGAGATTATAGCTCACAGGGAAACAGGAGAAGGGAAGAGAATTCTACAGGCGAGAGGTGCGAGACATGAAGCTATTAGAGTAGAAGAGACGGCTACATTTA